AATTCCAAGGGGGGAGGGGGTCTGTATTGAAAAATCAATAGAAGGGGGGGAGGGGTCTGTATTGAATGATCAATTATTAGACCCGGACTCGCCGACACTTGCTTCGCAAGTCAAACTCAAGGTATCCCCTAAAGGGCTACCTTTCGTGATAAAACCGTGGTCGTGACCAGTGAAGCACAACCTCTTCAACAATTGATTTTGCCAACTGGCCCTTCTTTCCAAGTCATTCAGCCGGAAGAAGGCCACAAATGGTTCGGGCGCATGCTGACAGCACGCGGTTCCGCAGGTCAAGATGTGGACATGGAGTATCATTTGCAACAAGCAACGGGGAAAAAAACGAAAACTGTCTGGGCCAACAAAAACATTTTGCTGGATCGCGGGGCCAGGCCTACCATTTGAAATACTTCGACGCGTGTGTTTCCAGTGTCGCATGCTTTGCTTCAGGACACCGAACAATCCACAAAGCAGTTGCAAACTTTGGACGCTGTGTTCAGAAAATTTTGCCGAAATATCGTGTTACTTACCACCTTCGGGTACGGACTGGTCGCTGGAGTGGCACGAGGTTCCTCACGCTTGGAACGAGAGGGTGCGTATGTTCATCGCACAGTCACAAACCCAAACTTGGACCGCCCGGTGGTGCAACCAATACTGAACCCTTGCACGGCATACCTCCCTAGTGTTTCCAAACCGTTGGGTCCGACAAATTTTGGTTTGGAACCCGGTTGGGCGACGTAGAGTTGGACGACCGAGGGAACTTTGGCACAGTAAATTGGAAAATGTTTGCCGATACAAAGGCTTGGGAGATTGGAGGTTTATGGATGTCCTGGGACCATTGCAGGGATGAATTTGTCGATTTCTGCTTGGCCTAACGTTCTGAAATTGTTCTTGCGTAATTTGGCTTCACTTGAGGCGCCTGCGCCCAAAACGGGCCCGCCTGACGGCGTACAGGCCAAAGTCAAAGTCAAAGTGGGTTCACCATCGCCATCTTCTAGTTGCCGCGACAAGACACCTACCTACTCAGCATTCTGCATTTAATTCGTTGCCCCCGATTTTTGATTTCCTGTGTCCTATCTTTACTTGGTTGGAATGCAGCCATTGGCTCGTGTCTCAGCTTTCGGTCTTCATCGCACTCTTCGTGCTGTTCCGCCCATTGCTCCACCTGCGGAGGAAGTCTCCGAGATCCATCTTTCTTCGCAATCACATCACTTGTCCTTTATTGATCTCCAGGACTTCGTGTTCCAGAGCCTGACTCAGCCCATCCCCACCTACTGGAATGAGCTTCGACGTCCGTTCCCAACTCCTGGTCATTTCCCCAATTTGCTTACAGTCCGCGTTGAGCTCGAAACCAGCCTCTTGGTCCATCAGCCCTTGAATTACACTTGAGAGGAGGGAGACACGAAAGGTAGGACAGCGGGAAGAGAACAGAACGCGAGAAGCAGGAACAAAAATGCAATGTTCGACATGGTGATTTATCCCTTCGAGGGCGACCTTTCGTAAATCGTAAATAGAGGTTCAAAGGCACTCTAATTGTTCAAACATATGCTCTGGAAATGTTCAAAAAGATTCCTTGCCCCATGGATCAGATCATCGGTGAGCAGACAATCGGAGCATTACAGGATTTCAACTATCCTGAAGCCATAAGAGGCTCACGAAGACGCTCCCCAGGAGAGAATTGACGTGCTTCACAAAACAAACTCTAGGTATGTATCCCCTCGGGGAACACCTTTCGTGATTAGAACTTCATATGCACTCTTGAGGCCCACGAAGACGTTCTCGAGGAGAGAATTGAATTTAGAGGGGGGGGGCGGGGTCTGTATTGAAAAATCAATTCCAAGGGGGCCGGGGGGGAGGGGGTCTGTATTGAGAAATCAATTCGGGGGGGGGGGGGGGGGGATTGAATTGAGTGATCAATTATTAGGCCCGGACGTCCCAACACTTGCTTCGCAACCGCCCCATTGGCTACATTCATGAGTACCCGCGTCGGGACACACCATACCCTTACCGCCCGCTTCATACCATCGCACCTCGTCTCCATGATGATGCCACTGGACAACTCCGTCTACCTCTCACTGCCGACCAGTGCTTCCGTGAGATCCATCGTTTTTCTTAGCTTCTCACCCTGAATACCACTCGTCCGGAGCTTAAGGCAAAATGACTGCCTCCCCTCGGGGAGGCGAATCACAGGGATCCATTTGGATTGTGTCTTTGAAGGTTTTTGAAGTTGCAGGGGGGGTGGAGAGGACGTATGAGGCTCCATCCAACGAAGCTCCTCATACGATCCTAGGATATCATCAGAGACGCCTGATGACGTACCTGCAGTTTACCAGAGCAAATTCCTCGTGGACCCTGCTCGTAGCTAGAACAAGAATGCCAGCCATCGCACCTGTTTGCATCGGCAGTCACGCATTTGCTTGTACCTTGGAGTATGAATTTGAAGGTTTGCAGGTTTCGCGTCGCTTTGAGGATGTCTTTTGGTTGTGTGGTTTTACCTGGACCCTTAGGTTTTTTCACTTAGGCTGGCGTGTGGCAAACCGCATTCACATCAGTATGTATTTCTATAAGTGTGTGTGTGTGTGACATAGCAAAAAGTAGCACTGGTATGTGGCAAGTCGACCAAGATCCAGCGCGTGGGTGCCCTTTCGAAAAGCCCGGCTTACTTGGACGCCAACGAAATCCGTAAGATCCACAAGAGTGAAGCAATGATCTCAAGCCAAAGGATACTTTGTTCAAAGGAAAGGAGTGAATCACCAAGAAGTGAGGGCAAATGGGAGTCCCAACTCGCGCATGTGCTTCGCAAAAGAAAAGCTGGGAAACTGCACCCATAGCAGGGCATCGCCTTGAGAAAGCCAGAACAAATAACACGGAAGTCGGTTAACGGTTAACAAGCATTGCGACACCGCAACCCAGTCGTGAGACGGCTATGCCACAGGTCGCAACGTCCGGGCCAGCCAAGGTCTGGTCAACGCGGAGAATCGGAGATGGACAATCTCCAGGTTGGATGAGCCCGGCTGGCCGGCCGTGATAGGAAGGGAATATGGGCCACAGTCAACTAGCCTCAGTAGGGGAATGTCTCGGGCCTTCCGTTCGAAACGTGGGGGTCTGTTCCCTTGATTAGTTGTCAAATACCAAACACCTCACCGTTTCTGCACACAAACAAAAGGATGATGACCTGGCTTTGACCTGCAGTCGAACAGCTGGCGACGCACTCGCATGCGAGGATGTCGGGAGGTGCAGGAGGAACATGGCAAGAAGAAGAGGTCACAAGCAGGTTTGCTGAGGCAGAAGTTATAATGCAAAGGGATCCAGGATTGCTGTAGCTGCATCACGGCAACAAAGCCAGCAAGGCTGACAGCTTTTGGATCAAAGTTTAAAGGTGTCAGAGCTTGATAAGGCCATGCAGCCCAGGTCTGCAAGCGTCAACAGAGAGTGACTCACAGAAAAGACGAGCGCAATCTGGACATGTCGGACATGACCAACAAAACCATATTATATCTTTTTCAAGCCAAACAAGCAAAAGAACAAAAAGCATGAGTGACCTCCCAGCTTTCCCACCCACTTTTACTGTCATCTCTTCGCATCTCTTCGCAAACACTATCTGTGAGAGTTGGAGAAGAGGCTGTATGAAGACTCACTTGGTCCTCCAGTAAGCAAACCTGTTGTAGAGGTGATGCCACACTCCAAGCAAAGCCCCTCTCCAACACTAACCATTTGGTTCAGCTTTCTGCTGTGCGCTCCGCGCCAAAAACCGAGGACTGGGGTGCCCCTTTGGGCTCCTCATCCTTGGATTCAGAGTCATCTTTGTGGTAACCCCAACTTCGACCAGTCCATTCCAGGCATTCTCAGCTCGCACTCATGCGGATCACCAAAGACGGACCTCACGTTCGGTGTGCTCAATGGATGTTCCTTTGGCAAATGAGTATACTGAGTATACTGTACATCTCAAACCTGAAGGGACAGTTGCCTCCAAAGCACTTTGCTCGCCGGTTTGGTTCACGGACTGTGCTACTCGCAGGTTTGGAATGTGCTCTAGGCCCCTAGGCTCTAAACATCTCCTGACAATGCAAACTTCTCAACTTCTAAGATACCTGCCATCGCCAGAATGGTCGCCAAGATGAGCAAAGCATCCGCTTTCGGTTCAATCTGAACGCAAAACAGGCGGGATTTGATGATTTGACATCCTGTTCTGAGGCAAACCAGCTGGTCAAATTTTCGTGGATGATTGCAACCACCAATTTAGAGGAGGCGATCTGGGTCTATCTGATGGCATCCAAAGAAACGTCAACAGAGACAGGGCGGTCTATGGTTCCTCGATTGCAGCTAACCGTTCACAAAAACCAACAAAAAACGAGCCCTGCCACGTGGATCTCTTGACAAACCCTGTGCCTGTGACCGCAGAGTTTGTCTCTGAAGCACTTCTGGCACTTCGAGTCAGGGTGAATTACGTACAAGGGTCTCACATTTAGTAGATTATAGATAGCCTTCTTGAATGCACGATCTATCATGGCGGGACGGGGAACGGCTGGCCTCCAAGTGCCAGTAGTTGTCAGCCTCAATACCTGACGCATCAACTATGGTTCTTCTCATTCAAAAGTACTAAGAAATGCATCTCGCTATACTGAACACAAGTGCTTTACCACAAGTTGGAGCTTTTGGGCTGAGCTGTGGCTTGATCAAACGCTGCTCAGCAGCAACCCAACTTGCTCGGTCCGATGACCCTTCCACACACCTCCCCACCAGGAGCACCACCCTTTGCCAAACGGCGACCATGCGGAGAGGTGACAATGGCAGCCAGCGTGATGCGGTTCACCTGGCTCAATATTAGTGATTCTCCAAAAGGTAAAATGCAGCAATTATTCAAGCACTATATATATATATATATTATATTAAATGACGACCACACACCGGCCAATGTGGATTGTGCGAGGCGAGGCAAGGACAAGGTGTGACAAGGAAAAAATAAGACTGGGGAATGAACCAAAAGCTTGCCTTGCCTCCACTTTCAATGCGGGCACTTCATTGTGTCTCACGATGCAATGCCCAAACGATCTCTCCACCGTGCCATACAAGGAGTCCTGGTCAAGCGATGAAAACACAAAGCAAAAACTGCCGTGGAGTACTTGCTCCTAGTAGTACGGCCAGGAGCCCCTAGTAGCTTCCTTGCTCCTAGTAGCGATGCCAGGAGCCCCTAGTAGCGTCCTTGCTCCTAGTTGAAGGCAAAGGTTCGAAAGATTGTCATGGAAAGGCACATCCTTTCGTTCCATGGCCTTCCGGCCCAGAACCAACGCATCATAGCCGACAGCATCGGCTGCGACCTTATGCGACAAAGGTGGTGATCTATGTCTGAGAAATGGCAGGTGGCTCAAAAAGCATAAGATTCAGAAGCCAGTCGGTTTGGGTCCTTGCTTCTTTTTGCCAGTAGGTCTGAGATGTACCATACCTACTAAATATTCACCATATCTGCTGAGCAAACCCAAGCTAGAGGTCTGTGCTTCAGAGATTCTTGGGTAGATTGGAAACAGGTGCTTGTCAAAAGATTGGTTAATGAGTCAACAGTTCTCACACCGCAGTATCTTCCGCTCACCGAGTCGTTCAAAAGAACTAAAGCTAGCAGAACGAGTTCCCCGTGGTGAAGGAACATTCTCATCTAAACCACATCCTAGTTCTCTCTCCTTTGTTGGACAAAAAGCACGAGAAAGTTGAAAGTTCAAGTATGCAAAACCAGAAAAGAAGACAAGTCTCATCGCATCACAGTTGTCTCCAAGTATGTATGTATCTCCACGTCAACCCACTTGAAAATCCCAAGGCAGCCGGATCTGCCTGAATGCTGCAGCGCGGATCTGTCTCGCAGTTTGCAAAGCAAACCCTCAGGGTAGGCCTCAGATTCGGCCCATTCGAGACTACGAGACTCCACAAGTCCGAGGCCAGCACGGCCCTTCTTTTGTGCTACCAAAAAGGGCCACAAGAAGCATCCTGGCGATCCAACCGGTGCGATGATGCAGTGTGCAATGAGATTCCTTTCTGTGACAAACACTGCAAAGTTGAACATCGTTAAAGATCACTTTCAAGCAGAATGTTGGCTTCGAAAGGGACAAAGGGAAGCACTCCATGTGTCCGCATATGAGAGTTGGCTGATACTAGCAAACCGAAACAAAGCTTGAAAGTCTAGTGGTGATTAATATACAATGCACTTTTTTGGTCGGATTAGGCTGTAGGCAGATACCATTTCAACCATTTCTGGCCAACCCCACGTTAATTACACAGCCTAGCACGTACTCAAAATTGAGTATAATGGCTGTTCTGCAAATGGATCTATATTATATACCGTATATATAGTACAGTACTCGTGCGAACTCTCAATTCGATCAACACCACACTACTGCATTACCGCATTGCTTGAGCGACGAAGCCCATTGCCACTGACGCTATCCCCTGCCTCCCAGAGTTGTCTCCCTGGATGTTGAGCTTCTTGCCACTCCTGTCGCTGAAGGAACTGCCAGCTCGTTCCGGACGTTGTGAACAAAGCCCAAAAAGTCATGGATTCATGCACACCTCCGAGTTGCCGTGAGGCGCTAGGATGTTTCCAGCAAACGGCTCCATGAAGTAGACTCGATTCCCTTGATATCGCCATCGCTAATTCCAGTAAAGCCACCATGTAAAGTTGGAAGAGCGGGTATAATCTGTCATTTTTTGTTTGTGCATGCAAAGTTGAGTCCCTAGTTTTTGCAAATGTATGTCCAACAGTATGCGGCCAAAGAATATATCAATATATTAATAGGGGATCGCCCGACACTAGACACCAATCTGTCAGATCATGTCCACACAAGTACTACTAAAGTACTGCTCACTTTTCCTGCATACTGGCTGCCCTCGCCCTCTCTCTCTCTCTCTCTCTCTGGATCCCCATTGACTGATCTCCTGAAGTTGTCAGCGCAAATTTTGAATCTGGCCTGCAGGCAGCAATAAGAGACTTCCACATCACCAGTGCAAGGAAATTGCCTCTCTATTTTGCAGCTGAAACTCCATGTTGGCTGGCAGAAAGCTCCTCTATTACGGCAGAGTAGATTGTGACTTTGGAGCGCCGCAACCTCACACTCCTTGGAGCAATCCCAGTGATCGGTGATTCCCGATTCACCAAATCCATTTCAGAGCCTTTTTCTCAGACTACCCCGACAGGTGTTGGGTCTCAAAAGAGCTTACAAACACACACTGTAAGCTGCCAGCACTGTACACCAGCACACCATACAAAGCCCACCACTGAGGCTGAACATGCAAAGAAGTCCCTTTCGCACAGCAAGGCCGGCAGCTTGCTGTCCTTCCCAGTCCCTCTGTCTCCCATCAAGCCATTCAACTTCCCCCCCAGACCTCGCGCCTCAGCTCTGGGAAAGGTTAATGACGCGCAAACAGGTGAACCGTCCACCGGCGGCGACTGGCCGAAGGGAACGCACACAAAAAATCCATCAGTCTATTGGATGTATGTCCTTTGAGCATAGCTATATATTTTGATCAATGTGGAAATCGAAGCTTCGAAGCAGCTCGGACCCAATATAGCAAGAGCAGGGATTCGCACCAACACCCTCAACTCTGGATTGAACCCAGCACGAATTTGCTTGGACTACTTGCACTCGAAACGTCTCCACGACCATTCACCACCCAAAGCCAACCTCATCTGGCTGCCTGATGCAAAGTGTCAAGCTTCAGAGGGAAGGCGCTCCCACCGGGCATCTTTATGTTTCTTCTTCGCTACTGCCGCTATCTATAACCAATGTTGGAATGGGTTCCGTATGATTGTGGGTATACTCCTAACTCCTACTGTGCTCATTGACCCTCTCTTCACCCAGTGTCTCGCCTCCCCCAGCGTCGTCCTGGGCACGTCCGAAGACAGAGAGGTTGAGACTCGGGCACATCTCGCCAGCCTTTTCAACCAAGAACTGATTGGATTTATTGACACCCCAAAACCATCAAAAAACGGTCATGACTTCTGTTGATGGCCTAAACCTCAAAACACGCAGCTACGCCGCGCTTGAGGAACCGCACAAACGCACCCTGCCGTTCCAACCGCCACCCGAGCCCCCGCTCCTCTGGGCTTGAGATCACCTGCACTGGTGGTGCCCAGCAAGTGCAGGAGGACCAATTTGCCAATGGGAGCAAGGTCAACGGGTAAAGTCCACCGACGAGTGAAATCACGGGTCACTTTGCTGTTGAGCCTGGGTTGTCGGAACACAGAAAAAGAGGACAATCACGGCCATTTCTCTGAGAATTTTGACAGCACCCAAAGACAAAGGCACCCAAGGTTGTCGGTTTCGGTCAATGTATATAATCAGTTCAAACTCGATGTTCTCGTTCTCAGGCGTGCTTTCATATTGATCCCCGCAAGCCAAACGCCTTCTTGTTCGTTGTACCACTCCGCCGGCAGATTTTGAATGATCATCAGGAAGATCCAAACGACCAGCCTAAGCCAGTTGGAGTGAGGGAAATGCAAAGAAAATCTGCCCCTGAGGGGCGTAATGCTGTTGGGTCACGTTCATTGAATATAGCTTTAGCTAGGGAGAACGAAAATGCACATCATGCATCATGAGGTGCGTCTGGGAGCAGAGAGGGGGTTGGAGAAGCATTGAAAAACACATGGTTTTCAGATATCTTCTATGTCTGACTATATGTCTCATCATCGTACAATTTGCACAACCAGGTCCATGAAAAGCAAATAAACTACTCCGTTCGACTGCCTATGTCTTAACATATGTTTCACGCTTGATGGTTGCATCATCTGCATCAGCTGGCTGCGATTACTGTATAGTGTCTTCATTATGCATCAGCTGGTTGCACTTGTACAGTTCATTGATGCTCATTGTAGAAAATGCCTCCAAATCAATGAAATTTGGACACCCTGAAATATCTAACAGTTCAAAGAGGGTTGAAAATAGTATATCCCACAATGCTTGCAAGTTGCAAGTGAGACATAACTAAACAATTTGTAAGAGGATCCAAATATACAGTAGAATGATTAATTATAGAGACTTCTTTTGCCCTCTCTCTAAAAAGCCACTGGTTCGGGCGGTTGTCGTCGCGAAGCGACCCGGGAACAAAGAAGGCTGCTGGAGTGAGTCTAGCAACTCCCATGTATCGTCTCCGCTTGCTACATTCTGGCTGTGAGGTCATTGTGTCTAACTTGCAGGAAAAACATCACCCTTCCTATTCAACTTTCAATCTAGCTCCATCAGAGCTCCTCGTTGAATCTGCAAATGTCGCAGGAGAATCCTCATGCTGATTTGGGATCTCGAATAACAAACTGATTGACGTGTTTTGCTTGGGCATGGAAAGCTTCGGACGGATAAATGAGGTCGCTCCAAACCATTTGGATCTTCCCTTCACGTGGATCAACCCTGGCAGTCCAACCCTAGGCTGAGTCTCCAGACATGAACAGAACCAGCGCGAACAAGGGAACCTGATGCGAGCGAGGCACAGGTTCCATGCAGTGAGCAATTACTGCATCTGGTGGGATCGGTGACTCTTCAAGTTCTGTCAGCAAAGACTAAAACGTCTTTGGAACAAATCCTGAAGTTCAGCTTTGTCATTTCTCTTTTCAGCCTGTCAAATCCCCCCACAAATGAATGCCTTGCATGTGAATAGCACAGCATGAAGTGCCGAGCTCACCGACCAGCTCATGGATACCATTCTGCACACTTGCAGGAATCATCCCCAACGCCTGGGCACTCCACACATCTCATGGTGCACAGTTGCAATTCACTCAAGTTCACACAAAAAAGATAATCATTGTCCCGACCATGTGAGTGGGATACTGTAAGTAGGAGCCTGCAGTGAGATGCGAAGCCATAGCACTGTCGTGTTACCAAATCATCCTAGCAACAAAATGTCCCAGCTTTCTCAGCTCCCAAGATTCGCCTTCCAACCCTCAGATAGAAGCTGAGGCCCAATTGCCTGCAACATGCTGAGACCCGAGGTACGCTCGCCAATGACTCTATTTACCAGTTCCGTTCCTTTGTCCCAAATCTACATCTTTTGGGGCAAAACTATATTTAAAAATGTGGGTTCGAGATTTGGTTCTCTGAATCTGAACCTTTCAACATGTCTCGATCAAGAAAAACCTAGACTGACATTCATACTGCAGGAAGCGCAGCAATCTAGATTTCCTTCCAGCCCAAGCAAACATGTTCCTTTGCTAATATCTTGTACCTCGACCCCTTGGAGACCCTCTGCTTCGGTTGGAACTCAGTCCTTCAAATTTAATAAGTACACTCATAAATTGATAAACTCTGTGGAGCAGCCTGGCAGCCTCGCAGTTGCCTCGAAAATGACCTTTCAGGTTGGCTTTGCTCAATCGTCTTTCTAGTGGAATTCGTGTCCCCCAACAAAAGGAAATGACCTCAGTGGTTCAATTAGTATGTCTGCAGCTCCCACACACCCTACCCGCAACAAGCTGCCTCACTGCCAGAGACCTTGAAGGCAGACTGCCTAGGCAAGCAACGCAGTTTCTTTTACCCAACTGCCGATGTCATCTATCAACAAGGAAAACGGTTGAAAAACTTTGTTGGAAGCCTTGGAAGATCCTCGAGCCATCTGATGCCATCCAGTTTCAATCCTTCGAGACAAAACCGCTTTATGATGCAATCTATCATGTTGGGCTGGTAAGCCAAGTCTGAAGCGATTTTCACCCATTCACAAAATACAACACTCTCGGGAAAACCTTTCAACAGCGACCACCTCGACATCCTCTTCGCTGCGGCCCGGGCAAGAGGGAAAACTGAACTTCATCACCGTCCATGGCCTGAAAAACAGAAAAGGGCGAGGTGTTTTTGGCACACGGTTGATTCCCATCTAGCAATCTGTGTCATTGGGCCAGTGTCATCCATTGTTCGCCATGGCCCATGCAAAACTGCCGAATTGCAGCCCCCAAAGTTTCCTCTGACCCACCTCGATCACAAGCCCATCGAAGGCCTTGGAAGGACGGGTAAAACGAAGCGGCTATCGATTAAATATTAAATATGACCCAATATGGCCTCTAATTGTAGAAACATCGAATCTAAAGTACAGCAGAGAAATTCCTTTTCTCACCACCATAGAAATTGTCATTTATGACTTGTGCTAAGGATTGCCTCCTGCCGGGCGAGGCACTCTGCCAGCGCTGCGATGTTCAGCCGGGGGCTGCCTCCGCACGCGGGAGATTACAGTGACTTTTCCCTGATTACAGTAGAACACAACACGGAACTTAGAATCACAAAGTATTTTGTACAAACTAAAAGACCAAATTGTGTTAATCAATCTGGGTGATTCAACGCAGAGTTGCTACAATATGCAACAACACTGGACAAGTCAAATAACATGGAACCTTGAGTATAAACAATGTTTCAATCGCATTGTCATGGAGTATGAAATACATGATATTAATCCTTAAAGTTTGCTCTACCTATTGACTTCACATAAGCAAATTCATGTTTCTGACCTCTTTCAGGTCCCGGGAACCAACGCGAGCTTCGGGTTCCAAACGCGCTGAAAGATTGAGACCTGTTGTGTTTTGCCACACAAACAAACAGCGCGTTGACCAAATCAACATGATGGAAGAAAGGTTGACCAAACCCATGTCCATGACTCTCCATGCAATGGATGCTGCATGCAATTCGGTTCAGTGGAATCTTGCAGCCAAAACAATCAACGGTCCACATCTCAAGAACAAAAACCGTTTCAGTTTGCAAACAAACACGACACAATACATATAAATTGTAGATATGGTTGAAAATAACAGACTTCAATAATTTGTTTTAAACAATGACACAAACAATGACAACAATGCCTGCACCCCAAAACAGGCAAATACATGCTTCGGTTTGAATGAACACCTACAGTATATACAAGCCTGTACCAATAACCATTGCTCATCATGCATATATAACAAATGGCCATTGTTTGATTCACTGTTTTTAGTCTTGTGTTCCAGGTTCGAACGACGCCATTCTTCAGAAACTTGACATCGACGATGTCATTGATTTTTGGGATCTTTCAATGTACATCACAAAAAACTGAATATTTTGCCCTGCTGATTCGGCCCCAATGGAAAAATGGTGGGACATGCGTTGGCTCACTTTGCTCACAAAAATGTTGCATCCAAGTTAGTATAATGGGACAAAATTTATAAATCCCTGATGGACGGGGTAGTAATACATAATTGTTCACACAGGGTGTTTTTTGAATACTACTGCTGCTACTGCTGCTACTACTACTACTACCACCGACGACGACGACGACTACTACGACGACGACTACTACGACGACTACGACTACGACTACGACTAGGACTACGATTACTACCACCACCACCACCACCACGACGACTACTACTACTACTACGACTACTACGACTACTACTACTACTACTCCTCCTACTCCTACTCCTACTCCTACTCCTACTCCTACTCCTACTCCT